CTTCACACCGACATTCAAGAGTTACTCAGGTTATTTGCAAGCCTCCAGTACCGACAATTTCCATTATTGGCGAGTTTCCTATCGAGGATAATAGCTCTCATGTAAAAGAAATTATATATATATATATCATATATATAATATGATCATATATCAAAATAGCGAAAGAAGAACAGTTTCTTCTTTCGCTATTTTGATATATGATCGCCTGTGCGTTATATTGGAAACAACTATCGAATTATAAAAGTTTCACTTATTAAGGCTACTGGTTTTGACCTCAGAAAAAATTCCGCTTAGGTTGACAGAATCACAGAGCGACCCGTCAAGTGACCCTCTCATTTTATGGTTGAATGGAGGACCAGGTTGCTCTTCTTTAGCAGGTTGTTAGACTGCACTTGAACAAGGCGAGGTTATGAAATGTCTTGAAAGAACTCAAAAAGCTTTTAGGCCTCATCGAAGAACTTGGACCGTTCAAAGTGAGTGACTATGGAGCTAATGTGTACGCTAATGAGTACTCATGGAATCTGGTACCACTTACTAGTGACCTGTTGTTAATGAAGAGTCTCGTATAATTTTCTTTAGTTTGCTAATATGCTGTTCATCGAGTCACCATCTGGAGTGGGGTTTTCATACAATACGAAGGGTAACGTAACCACGAATGATGACGATGTTGCACAACACAACTATCAAGCCTTTGTGAGTTACTTCAACATTTCTGCAAAAAAAAGACTATCCTAGGTCATTTAGGTGAACTTTCTGGAAAAATTCCCTGAATATCATGGAAGAGCAATATTCATTACTGGAGAATCTTATGCTGGTGTTTACCTTCCAACACTTGCGGACAAAATGATCAGCGATTCTACGAATTTCCCTAATTTCAAGGTTCGACATTTATTCCTGGAATTTAGCTATATTGAACAAACAATATTCTATCATACGTAAAGAATGATTTCAGGGTATGGCTATTGGGAATGGAGCATTAGATTTCTTGCACAATTACGACACTATGGTTCCTTTGTACTACTATCATGGACTCATTAGAGACGAGTATGCATTCCTTCTATCTATATCTTGACCGCATAATTTTGTTAAAATCTTATCTCTTTGCAGGTTATACAGGAATTTTTCCTCCACGTGCTGTAACAATAATATCGAAAGCTGTAATGTTTTGTCAGCCTATAACAATCCCATTTGCACATCTCTCGTAAAAGAGGTACGTGACACAGTCTCATTTATCACCTGTAAGGTACCCAACCGGAGGAAAAGTCAGCATAGCATTGCTTCTCCAGGCATACCACATTTCTGCAAATGGAACCAACAATGTAACATATGTAGTAACAAAAAGTGTAAAAATTCCTACAAATGATGCAATTTGTCAAGAAATACGTATAAATGTATGATGCACAACGGTGCCATAATTTCTTCTGTCGCAACTACTCCAATTTAGCCTGCTTTCACTACTGGGAAAACACTAGATTTACTAGACATTTGTTCATTACTGTGAGGTAAGATGTGGTACCAATTTCTTCCGACTCACCGTAAAAGAAGTTCATTGATTTTTTCAGTGGATCATTGCTGTCGGTTAAAAGTCCCTCGCTACAGACGAAACATTCGAAAATTTTCTTTGAATGAACGAATATCGAATTGGAAATATTCGAAAAAATGAACAATATTCAGATC